CATCCTTCCTTACCTGAACAACTCTTTCATGTTGTCATAGGAAAAGTAGGCACCATTCATGTAGAGATGCCGGAGATGGTTGAGTTTGGAGAATTGAGAAAGGAATTTGGCAGCACACTTCTTTGCATCTGTCATTGTATCTACGACACTAAATTCAAAGTCGATTTGATTTAGATCAAATTTGAGAAGATGTCTCATCTGTCCAAGGAAAGGTGCAAAGAAACATAGGAAGGACAGGACTTGCTTTGTGTGTACTTCCAATTCCTCAATATAGTTTGGCTGGAAAATGTTCAAGACCTCTATGATAATCTCTGGGGGCAAGTCAAAAATTGTCATCTTCAGACAGATTAGCTGGACAGAGTAGTCTTTGCTCTTTTGGGCCCACTGGAGCAAGCATTTTTGGTGTTTGTTCAGAGAGAAGAAGAGGCTCAGGTTAGTGACCACCTGTAAAGGCTGCCTCAGTGCAGGAATGCTCTCTGGAACTTGCTTTTTGCTCAAAATATCTGCTGAGCAGACTCCATCCTCTCTTCCAGCCCATATATCCCAGAAATCCTGATGCACATCTCTGAAGTCCAAAACTTGAAGTTTCCCCCTTCTGTGAGAAAAAAAGGTAAAGTTTCATAATGTAAAACAGGAACCAACATGGTGTCATCTTGAATCCTATTTGTCTAAGATCAGCTCTAACAAAGCCCTGAACACCAGGCAGGCAAGGACACTGCATGAGATGCATCTGGCAACATGCCCCACTTCCCCGCATTCAGTTGCTCTTGATTGTGTCTCTTCCATATATAGTGACTGTACAAAGCCAGGGAAGGGCTTATCCTACTATGGCTAGTTGTAGTCTGAGCTGTCCTCCACCTATGTCATTTAGATCAGTTTTCAACTTTAATTGTAGTTCCACAGACCACCAAATCAATGACACCATTAGCTTCTGTTCTGTTTGATCCCATTTTTCCTGCCCGCATATGTGTATTTCTTACCACTAACTCTATGATTCCCCTCTAGCCTACTTGGACATTGCTTACTTGAGAAGATTGTTCTCTGTCAGCAGTTTATCTATGCCAGCCAGCACAGCTTGCATCATCTCCACATTGTCAGGTTTCAGCAATGGTCCCACAGGGAGGTAGGGAAAGGGCCAGGCTACCACCATTCCTTTCAATATCTCTGTGTGTCTGCCATTGAAGGCCTCTTTGAAGAGGTGTGGGAAGAGCATATCAGGCAGGTTCTCCAGATCAGAGAAGTCTATGGCATCATTCTTCAGCAGCTGTTCCAGTGCAAGGTGTCTGAATGCGGGAGGGTTGTAGGTACTCATCCTGATAGATATTCAGTAAAAAGAACCTGTGGAAGCATTTAGGAGACATAATTTCAGGTTAAGTTTTGCCAACCTCTATTTCTCACACATTTCAGGAACCAGAAGTTCAGATCTCATGCTCTGGCAATATTGGATAACTCAGTCTGCTTTATTATCTAATCTTGTCATCCCAAAGCCAAACATTCA